ATAGTTGGTAGGATCATTGTGTAATTAGGTCATTCCTTTTTCTTTATATAAGCCTCTGTTGGCTTAGGGTTAATATATACAAAATATATACAGCTTTGTAATCTCTCTCTCTCTCTCTCTCATGAGTTCGAACACATATCACCCTTCCATTGTAAACGACCACGGCAACCTTTCCATTGGAGTCGGCCACGGCAACCTTCCACTGGAAAGTGGCCGATAATTATGGTGTAAGCAGAGGGAAAATTAGCATGTTCAGCTCTGAACCAATCAATCCACCATCTATCCTTTCCTTGAACAAAATCCCAGAAGGGCATACCTTTTGCAGCCAAAGCAATCTATGATATTTTTCTGATTCCAAACCCTCCCTCATTCTTTGGTCCGGTTTTATGGTTCCATTTTAAAAGGTACTTCTTTTTTTTTTTTTGCTTTCTCATACAAACTCTTTCAGCAACTTGTTAATAGCATGTTTTGTGAACTCTGGGTTCTTGTACACCTTACACCAGTAGTACAAGAAAGATGCAACCACTGTCCTTACTAATTCTACTCTTATTTACTTTAAGTAGTGGAAGCCCCAAATATGTCATAGGCAAATATCCAATATTCATTCCTAAGATGCTGATGTAGGACAAAGGACAATCTCAAATAGAAGAAAGTAAATAAGAGTTATGGGCTGGAAATTCAGAAACAAAGCTAAGATTCAGGGGTTGTTAGTAGAAAAGAAGGATTGAAAATAACAAAGAAAAACCTATTGGAATCACTCCAATAGGACCTAGGTATCACACCTAGAGAAGGCCTCACACCCTCAGAATTTGTGAATCACTCACAAAGAAATCTCAAAGGATAATTTTATTCAATCATTCGCTGAGTATTCAGAGTTACATAGTATCCTTTTTATAATAAAAGATGACCCTTGGATTACCCTACAATGGAGGTAATCGAAAGTTGACTCTAACTTAATAAAGTAACAAATAACTTAATTGATGCAATTTAATCTAATTATGCAATTTACCAAAACAAAGTAATCAAAAGTTGACTCTATCTTAATAAAGTAACAAATACTTAATTGATGCAATTACCAAAATAATGAAATTTGACCAAACCCCCTAATTATGCAAGACTCCAAGTGGACCCCCCATTGTCTAGCATGTGCCAAATTAAGGTTTAGCCTTAGAACCCTCCTTGCCACGCCTTTTATATACTTTAAAAGGCTGCTGCCACTGTTCTCTACCAGATGCACAGCAAACTTTTCCGTCTCTTTACAGCCTTTAAGAGAAAATTTTGACTTTTCCATAATTTATTGAAAGCCTGAAAATATTTTGAAACTGTTGCAGGAAGTTGGCAATATTCCTAGCTGGGCTCAGATTAGCTATAGAAACAAGAATTAGATCCTCTCCAAAAGCAATGGGAAAACATTATGACTGATTTTTGAACTGCATTACTTAGTTGTAGCCTTCCATTTTCAACTTCTTTCTGCACCGTAGCTGAGAAGATATCAGTGATGAGAGTAAATAACAGAGGTGATAAAGGGCATTCTTGCCTTAACCCTTTGTTTGTTTGAAAAAACCAGCAGAAAAACCATTAAGTTAATACTGAAACCCAACCAGTTGAAAGGCAAACCATAACCCACTCAATCCATTTATTTCCAAAACCATATGATTGAAGGAGGCTAAAAAGAAATGACCAAGAGACCTCATATGCCTTTTATAAGTCAATTTTGATGGCCATAGTCGGATGAATAATGTTGGATTGGAATCATCTGATCAGTTCATTCTCCATTATGATGCTATCATTGATGTGCCTACCTTTAGTAAATGTATTGTGTTCGTTTCCAACAAATTTTCCCAGCAGAGAGTTCAATCTGTTAGCTAATAGCTTTGTAATAATTTGTAAATTGTAGAACACAGGGATATTGGTCTGAAATCAGAAGCTTTGCTACTGTTATTCTTCTTTGGAATAAGGCAGATGAATGAGGAATAGAAGAAGTATTGAACAGTATTCACAACCTCCATACCTACCACATTCCAATAAGTTTGAAAAAACCTTTGGGGGCGGATCCATCAGGACCAGGGCTTTTGTCAGCTCCAAGTTGAAATACCACATTTCTAATCTCCTCTGCAAAACACATTCTTCCAATTGCTGAGCTTCTTCAGAAGAGAGGCAAACTATATGACCGATGGGAATTTGAGGCAAAGATCTAGAATCAGCAGAACCAAAAATACCTTTGAAATGATCTCCAAAGCAGCTTCTGATCTGGTCCATATCAGAGATCCAAACCCCATCCTCTCTTTGAATACCATAAATGGCATTAGAAGTTCTATGTTGGACAATTTTTTGGAAGAAAAATGTAGACCATGTATCCTGGCTTTCTGGGCAAGGATGACTTCTTCATTGAGCAAGGCTTGTTCTAGATTCATTCGAGCTTGAATTTCTGCTTCAACAAGGATTCATTTTCAGGATCTGCCAGCATTTTCATTTAAACCTGCTCCAACATATTTCTAGCCTCCTCGAGCAGCACATTAGTATATCTGAATACTGTGGTATTCCATTCTCTTGTTTTATTTTTTACATGTTGGAGCATTTTAGTGAGGACATGTATAACATTAGATTGCCACAAACACTGACCTCCCAGGCGTGTTTAACAACTTCCAAAACATCTTGTTGCAGACACCACTATTTTAGAAATCTAAATGGCTTGGGTCTCTAGGCAACTTGATCAGTAGTATGTAGCTCCATGGCATATTGGTCTAAAGAAGATTTTAGAATTAGGAAATTCCATTAGTCAATCTTGAGAGACAACTCCTCTATCAAGATTAGCAATGATCTGTCTACTGATCATATGTTTACCACACCAAGTCCAATTGCCATTTACCATAGGAAGCTCAATAAGTCCTGTTGTATTCAGAGCACTTTTGAGTTCATCTCACACTTTTGAGGAACATTTAATCCACCTCTTTTCTCCAAGATATCTAATAACATTCCAGCTCTCCCAAGGTAATCCAAGGTCTATCTATCATACCCTTACAGTGAACCAAAGCATTCCATAAATCCTTCCTTTGTCTAATGGTATTTTTTTTTTTTTTTGGTTTAATTTGTCTAATGGTATTGCCTACATATATAGGAGATAAAAAGAAGGTTTTTGATCTTCTACCTGAGTAATTTTTAACAGAATAAGTTGATGCATTAAATTTTCTGGAGTTCAAAAATATCAGAATTCCACCCCCACAAAGATGTTTCCAAAATCATCAGAGATAATAGTTTATCCACTTATGTGTAGTATGGTAACTTGTTCTATGTACTTGTAGAAGATAAGTGGATCATTGGGGATGTGGTTGTGTTAACTGAATTGCAATGAGCTGGTAATTTTGAAGGTGACTAGAATTCAAACTATCTGTGGAACACTAACATTGGAGGTAAATTGATAACGAGTGACTCTAGGATTAGTTTCTGGACTCATGTGGAGGAGTTCCTGTGGAGGTTGTACTCGTCCTCGTTCTTAGTAAATCTGTTTCTGGGGTAGAAACCTTCATATTTTTTTCCCGACTAGGTTTTCAAATAAAAATTTATTGCCCCTTTCTCTTTATTTGCTTTACTACTTGCGTAATATTGTTTGTTTGTGAATTTGAATTAACTAAATATTAGAATCTGAAGAAAGTGTGAGGAAAACTAGGTGTAGTACCCATTGGTGAGAAAATTCGAGAGAGTAGGCATAGATGGTTTGGACGCATATATCGTAGACCTAGCGACGCTCCGGTCAAACAAGGAAGACTAGTTGTAAACTTGTAATAGAAGGAAAGAGACTGATAGGGTGGCAAAAAATAACTTGGGATGAGGTTATTAAAAATGCTTTTAAAAAGTTAAATATAGTAGGTGAATTAACATGTAATGTAAAAACTAGGAGAGAGAATTCAGGTGGCCAAACCCATTCACATGGACAAGGATGATGATGATCATGAAATATTTGAATCTGGGTAAAATCAATTAAACAAAGTTGATAGACGTATTATTTATGAAAAAATAAAATAAAATTAATAGACTTAGTCACTGTCTTTGTCTAGGTCTATTTAAATTAATAGACATATTCACTCCCTTGTCTAGGTCTATTTAAAGTATAATAACTAGATTTTTTTACTATGCCACTCTTATGATAAGGTGGGGAGATTTAGGATTTTTTTTTTTTTTTTCCATTATTGAAGTACTGAAGTTTTTTAAAATTATCTATTTTAGATGGTCAGGGTGTACACATTGATAGAAAATGTAAACTCGGTCACCCATTTTAAAACGGAAAATGATACTCATAAATATTTTTCCATCATAGACATCACAAAATTTTCAAATTACTTGGAAAATGGTACTCATTAAAAAAAAATTAAATAAAATATTCATACACATCACAAAAATTTCAAATTACTTGGCTTAATTTTATCTTTTCATATGAACCAAATGGTTAGAAAGGAGACTTAATGGATTAGAGTTTCACAAATTTTTACATGATGTTTTATTGAGTTTGACCATTTGATCTACACACTAAATTTCAATAGTAACATTGAACGGCTAGAATATAAATCCATTGGTGAAATTGCTCCACTTTATTAAATCACACAAAATTGATGAGACCCTAGTATATGAAGTATCCGTTCACAAAATGTATGTGGTGTGATAAGATAGAATTAGGCTCAAATTAAATTTTTGTAATGACTATCTTGAATTTTTTTTTTTTTTTGTAGTCCAGTACTCTTTCAAAATTCTCATGTTTTCATCGGGTCAATTCAATTTGTTGCCAAGGTATGCCCAACTAACACAGGATAGAAATATTTTACCACCGTCTGATGTGTCTATGGAATGAGAAAAGAGTACTCCTGTTATGCATTACTATCACCTTCTCTCTCACACAAAAATAGTGTGAAAGTGGAGAAGTATGTGATTGTTGTCCTTTATTTTTCTAATTTGTAACCGAAACACTTGATTAGCGTGAGGACTAACTTCCACTGATTTTTTTGCAGAAATCGCGATGAAGTGGTAGAGAGTAAAGGGAACAGAACCTGATAGCTGAAGCCTGGAGGCAATGACCAATGGGCTGGCAATAATGGGTTGTGGGCTCTATTCAATGACCATCTTGAATGCTTGAATGAATAGACCCTAAATTTAATGACCAACTTGACTGATTGTAACACTTTCAAGTATTTCTAGTTTTTTTTCTAGAGAAGTTTCTGGGCGGACCCATTTCTTTCTCACTCCTTTCAGTTTTGTGGACCCCACTACTTTTTTGACCTAAAGTTCCCATACCCTTTTCATGTCATCAAACTTTCAATTTTCAAACACTATGGGGCTCTGCCCACAATTTTTGAATCCCAACCCCCAACAATATAGCCTCTATAAAAGGGCTGTTGGACTCTGTGCCTATTGTCTATCGCACTCACACATACTCTCATACCCATCTATTCTGCTGGCTTTGTTGTTCATAGGATGTCTCAGGGAAGAGGAAGTGCAATCCTTGCCGCAACAATGGTGCTATGCCTGATATTGGTGCATCACTGCGTGTTGTCTCAGGCAGCTACCCATACGGTCGGTGGTGCCAGCGGTTGGAGCTTTAATGTGGTTGGCTGGCCCAAGGGCAAGCACTTCATGGCTGGTGATACACTTGGTAAGCAGGACAGACTCAATACAATTTGAGGCATCTGACAAAATCTATTAATAAGACCTTTAATATTTAACATCAACTTAATGAGTTTTAGTTACTCCATCCTTGATTTTCTCTCCATCACCTTCTATTTTATTCTCCTTCAATTTCTCTGAAGATTTATACAATAGACATAAATGTTAAGGTTACTCCGTTGTGACCTAGAGATCGAGGAAATAGTCTCTCCTTCTCCGCATGTGCGGATTCTGCATACATTTGACCCTCCTCAGACTCTGCAGTGGCAAGAACCTCGTGTACTGGACTAGCCATACTCACTCTCACGTGATTCACATATAGAAAACTCCTGATCCTCATTAAATATGTGTGTATTCTATTAGGTCCTTTATTTGTCTTTTCGTGGAGTCAGCCCTATGTGCCTAATCCTACTTCTGCTAGAATTCTACTAGAAATATATACATTAACAAATTTGACCAATATTATTCTACTTCGGACTGTTTTAATTACTAACAAGCCTTTGATTGTGTCATTTGTTGCAGTATTTAACTACAACCCAGCACTACACAATGTAGTTGTTGTAGACAAAGCAGGTTTCAGCTCTTGCAAGGCCCCAGGTGGTGCTAAAGTGTACAATACTGGGAAAGATCGCGTCAAGCTTGTGAAGGGGCAGAACTTCTTCATCTGCAGTTTTCCAGGGCATTGTGGTCCTGGAAATATGAAAATAGCCATTAATGCAATGTAATATGGGATTACAGACTTGGGTTTCCATCTGTATTGTAGTCCTAGAATAACAGAGACCGTACTAATGAGCAATATATATCACATTAAATATATAAGTTGTTTATCAGTTATTACATTTTACTACGTAGTTTTGTGATATTCCATTTTGTGTAGCCCTAGAAAAAAGTACTAATGCGGCGCTCAGGGCAAAGTGTGCACCAAATTTTCTTTCAAAAGTGAAAATGAAGATGTTTATGACCGTGGACTGCAATGCAAGTATGGAGATTTTAGTGAAATAGATTCAGGAAGGGTGGAGATTGCACGACTTGCGGTGGGGTCCACTCATTCTCTCTATATGGTCTAGTGCGGTAGGGTAGACGAACATCGGGAGTGGGACCCACTCTGCTTGTAGGGTTCTCTCTCCATATATAGTCCAGTGCACGGTAAAGGTAGGAAAGAATCCAAATTTGCCTTTCTTGATGTGAAATTTGGGCTGAAAGTGGATGGCTCACGTACCTTCACGTTAAATATATGTGGAAATACAATATGGACGAAGATTTATGAACATTAGCTGAAGAAAGAAACTAGCTTCAGTGAATTATGAGATGGGTTTCAACTTTCAAGCTAATGTTTATAAAGAGCTCCATGTTTGCCATGATTATGATCAACCACTTTACAGTGTTGATGTAAATACAGGTGGTTGATTAACATTAATACACCACCTTTTTTTCTTGCCAGCATACTGCCGATGCTTTCACTTATTTTTTTGATAGGTCTTTGTATTTGTGTTTAGCTAGGGAAAGTGCATCATAGTTTGTGTTTACACCAGATTTTGCCAAAATGACCCAATAGGATCGATTTGTCAAATTTGAAACATAATTTAAAAGTATTAGGTCTAGCATTCACTGTAACTCATATACATATACACACACACACATCAGTGACAATGACTTGAATGGAAAGCAACTGATATTTGGTTGTCAATTTCAAAAGAAGGGTAAATTATAATACTTCCTAAAGTTAATTTTAATTACAAGAACCAATAAGCCTGTAGCCTAATTCTTAAAGGAAGGTTAGGTGTTCAAATTTCAGTGGAGGTATGTGTGTGAATACCAACAAGGAAAAAAAACTTTGATTACAAGATGATTTTATGTTTGACAAAACTTACGGACACACTCCTCAACACAGGAGTTATTGTGAAAATATTTAACAAATAGAATAATAAAAGAGAGACAATGCCCATGAACCATTTAAAAATCCATGTACAAAGTTCAATTCTTTGCCCTTTTCACTCCACTTGTCTCCCAAGATAAAATAAATAAATAAAAAATAATAATAAAATAAAACGTTCTGATGCCACCATTGTTCCACAATATCTTCGGTGACGATGGGCCGATTCAAAATAGGCGGATGGATAATTTCATGGTGGAAAAATATATTGCCAACATTTCCATGGACTCTCTGCCTTCTCCACCGCGAATATAAGCAGCACTGAAGATTGCTAACGAAGGCGCCAAAACACAAGCTCAAAATGCAAATGATCCTTTTCCTGTTTGTGGGTGTATGTTTTTAAGCATAAAACATATCATTCTCATACTAAAGCAATTAAGAAAGTTGGGGGGAAAGAAAACTAGTTTCATCATTAAACCGTAAAAAGTTGATAACTACTGCTTTTCTTTATTTTTACAACTTAACAGCAGCACTATACAAAATGTGGTAAAAGACCCATAAATATGCATTCTATCCATTAAATCTAAGCACTATACACTGATAATTTGCTAGTCCGATGTGCATGGTAATGGGAAATAACTGAATCCGAGGGGGGTTCTGGGTCACAATACCATGTCATTCATCTTCAGTGTCGAAGAGGATAGATTTAGTTTTTGAGCTATTGTGCTACACCATTTTCAACATATTGGTAGTCATCTCGAACTAGTTCCTCTACTGGGTTCTCCTTTGCCCACACAGCCGCATCTAAATATCCAAGCTCAAATAGCTTATCAAGGACACGATCTTCTGCTGGCTCGAGTGCCCAATTAAATAGCTGAAACAGTTGCGAACAGAAAACTTATATTGGTTTATCATCAGACAAAACTTCACTTGTCAAGTCATAAAATTACCTCTCGCGGAGTAGCCCTATTTTCAGGGTTGCAGTCGGGACTGATCCCAATCCCTTGTAATCCCAATCGACCGGCTGGGAAAGCACAAACACGAACCTGCAAACTAACTTAAGCATTAATATACCACTTTCATGGTATTTCCATGGCATTTCATTTAGTTCCTTCTTAAACTGAGTCACTATAAAATTTTCATGCAGCAATTGCAGAAATGACAAAAAACGTGAAGGTAAGTACCACAAAAATAATCAGATAAATGTCATTAGCCTAGTCTTTTGATATATCTTAAATTATCCTATGCATAATAAAATGAATAATCAAATTATCACATAAATGTCCCAAGGCTACTTTATTCAAAGATGTCCTAAATTATCCTACAGGAAAAAAAAAAAAAATTGGACTCATTTGAATAAAAAATATATCCCATACATGTTACAATGTCAACTAAAGATTACACACATCAAACTCAAGCCACTGCTATTTTATAAAGAACTTGTAGCCACGAAAAAGAAGACAAAAGAAAATTAACTTGTGCATCCATCCTGTCACAGTTTCACCAATTCCCCATAACAATACAGTTATGTTTTTGCAAATGATTTGGTATTCATGCATAGGTGCAAGATGGGGTTCAGTTTCGATAATTTGTTATACAATGCAGTTTTCCTTTTGGGGGTTTTATGCTCTTTCTATTAGCAGGGAAATGAAAGAAATCACAGGGAAATGAAAGCAATCACATTTAAATTGCTTCTGTTAATAATAATAATGAGTAATATCGTGGACCATTCATCGGTTTTTATTTTTATTTCATTTATTTTCTCTCTCTCTCTCTCTCTAAACATAATAATAATATTGTTCAGAAGTCCTCAATAAAAATAATATCTTTTCAGTTAAAAGTTCTAAATCTGTTTTGGTAAGTGATTTCACATCACCTCTAAAACTATCCAATAAGGATTCATTTGAGAAAGAACCATGAACATATGACGTATCTCATATAACCATATGCCTATTTTATGCAACGTTGTCAGTTACATTTTGGCAGATCGTTTAAAAGAGACTGACTACTTATAAGAAATCTCAGCAAGACAGATGACAAGTTATGCGGTGTAACAATTCAAATTTCATCAAAGAGAGTCATAACAAGGTTCAAAACAAAACAATCATGAGCAAATACCGTCTGAGCAGCAGATGTAGGTGGCATAAACAGCGTTAAACCCCCATCAATGCAAAGTCGATTCCGAAACATTGTTGCAGGTCTTGGCGCTAGATATCTGCACTGAATTGTACTTTTAGTTCAACTTTATTCCATAAACTAACACAATAGCAATCATGCAAAGGCAATATATATCTATATATAAATTTTTACCCTGGAATAAAGGAAGAAGTGAAAACTGCATTGATGAGATCTTCTTTGGAGTCAAATTGATCAACCAATAGACCCCTAGGTCTCCAAAGAATCTGGGTTACAGCAACTGAAATAAAAGGAATATATTAAAAACCTTCATGGGGAAGGTAATAACATTTTATGTTCTGTTGTTCCCTTTCTACACCATGCATATACTTGCATTAAGATGGCCATATGTTAATAAAACGGAAGAAAAGGTAAAAAGGGGTATGTTAAAAATTGACAAGTACGTGTTAACTAACATTCTCCTTAGCTGCAAATAAATAAAATAACACTGTTCTTGTCACCACGATATACTAGAAATACAAACACGTAATTGAATTTGAACAAATTTGCAGATTTTTGTGATGATAGAAAGAGGATTCTAGCCAGCCGACATCACCTAAAAATTTCAAAAAATTAGAGAGAGAGAGAGAGAGAGAGAGAGAGCTGTATAAATATATATACATATATATATATATATATATAAAGAAAAAGAAAGATTGAATGGCCATTAACCACATAAACCTCAAAGGTGCTTTATTTCATTTACATATTGTCAGTTTCAAGCATATTCACCCACAAGACCCTCAAGTTCTTTCAGTTCGAACCCACTGATCAACACAATACAGACAACCTGATATCAGTGAAGCATTTCATCTATACATTGAAAGGAGAAAATAATTATTCTCACCACGAACCCTCCCATTGGACCTAGTATGAACATCATCTGGCAGAAATTTGTCAAGAACGTCTCTGAGAACAGCCTGGCATAGAGATAATGAATATTAAGTACTTGAGTTTCTATTAAAATACAAAAAGACATGTCATCACTACAAGTTTTTCAGTCTCACAAGGCACTGCTAATGCTCCAAATGCAAACACTAGCATGTGCCATAATTCATGACTTTTTCTGCAGTTTAGATTTTGCCTATCACCACTGCAGACAGATTTTGGCTAATCCTCTTTGTACTGCTTTATGCCAAGATAATATTGTCTCAAGATTCAGATTCGAATACGCACCAAGCATTAAACTATCAGAAAATTTACCATCATTAGGGATTTCTATTTCATGGCCTGTAAATGTTGTTTTGACATGTTCAAACAAAGTACATTCTTTTTTAAAAAAATTTGATACACTTTTTTTTTTAAGAAAGAATTCATTTTAGTACTTAACAAAAATATTAGTATTCAATTCTACAATACAATAATGGTGTCAAATGTACAATTTATTTCTCATATACAAAAATGCCTTTCCTAATGGCATCTCGAGCTTCATGCTTAAAACTAGGGAGCAAATATATACTCATTTGAACACCAGGAAAAATTGCCTAAACTTGCAATGTGCTTAACTTTCATGAACAACAACTCCTAGAAGCTATAAGGCAATACTTCACTACGTCTGCATTGTTTGTTCTGGTCATCTAACATAGAAAATTTCTTCAAGGCTGCTCTTGTAAATAAGGCAACGCTTCACTATATCTGCATTGTTTGTTCTGGTTATCTAACATAGAACTACTGCAAAGCATACTCATCACATTGGTGTACAATAAGGAATTGAAAAGCACGAAACTTTAATTTGTTAACAGCTACTCAATATCCGGTCAGCTGCAATTATATCAATTCCCCTTGCCAGTACAGTCATCCTATTACGTATGGAAATGCATGGCAATATTTTCATCACTTGTTATGGTCATCTAATATAGAACTACTGCAAGCAAACTCATCTATCACTGGAAAGCTACAATAAGAAATTGAAAAGAACAAAACTAAAATCCAATTATATGAATTTCACTTGCTACAATACTTTTCTATCCTCAAACCAATCAATTCCATTTCGTAAGGTCTATGCATTGTGTTGGCATATCCATTAGTAGACGTCATGGTTGAAGTTCATAAGATTGTGTCACTCTGTTAGATCATTATTCATATTGTAATTGAAGCTTGATGACTGAGCCAATATAATCTATAGGGAAAAAAAACAAGACCTAGTTAATGTGTGTATCAATAAAGACATTGGCATCTATATTGTCAGAAATACTTAAAATTATCTAGGTAGAATTTGATGAACTTTCCAAAAAAGCAGACTTAATAAGATTTTTAACATTATATATATATATATATATATATATATATATATATATATATATATATAATTTGTTTAATTCAGACATCTTCTGACCCTTCAACTAAGCCCCTGAAGTCGCATCATTTATGTGGGCGATGAAACAATGACACAGACCGAGCACCAAGTCTAAGCAACCAGAAAATTGAGCATCGATGCTTAACCCTTGAATAAAGAGCTCACTGAGCCAGAATTTGAACGTTGATACTCAAAGGCCAAGAACCAATGCTTGCTTTCCTTGGAGCGAAATATATGCTATTTATAATCCGAACTGATTTTAAATTCGTTCAAATTTGTCCAAAAGCAATGAACTCTAGTCACTCTAAGATTACGAAAAGGGTACAAAAGGTTACTAAATATTTAAGAGAACACAAAAATTACTTGTGAATAATAGTGAAAGAAAAAGATAATTCTTTGAAAGTTTTTTGAAAACAAATATCCTAGGTTTTATAGATCCGATATAAATTTTTCCTATTGCTCGCCTGGGAGCTTAATCAAAGACTTACAAATCATCAACCACATCATCTTTCCATAATCAAATACTTCACATCTTTGCTGGAGGTATTCTGCTCGTAGTTACAATTGTTGGTTCACGTGGAGCAGGATCTTGGTCAACAATCACTGTGGAAGAAGATGAAATGTGCAAGAGTGATAGCATTCCCTAGATTGGGGTCTTGAACTGGCGGGAAATTCTTATCAGAGGTATGGCTGCTAGTGATTCCTGGAATTGGAATCTGTACCTAGTGATGATGCTGCACTTGATTCTGTGGTTTTTCCAAGTTGGGTTTCATCAAATAAAATCATGTGTAGCTTTGTTTCTTATGGTTAATAGATTCATGGTTTGGATGGTTATTGATTGATCAATTGAAGTTAATTAAATTGAAATTTGATTACAAGCTGATCAATAAAGTAATAGAAATTTGTTAAAATCAAAATCAAGCAAAAAGTAATCAGAACAATTCACATCCCTCTAGATCCTATTAGATTTCCCAGCACACACTCCTCACATTTACTTTTCTGATCGACCAACTTATCCCTTCCTACGTTACTTGACACTTCACCTTAGAGCACAACACACACGGGTGTGGGAATTGGGATACGAGTTAAAAATCTAGCCATAATGTTCTGATGAAGGTCTTCATGCTGTCGAAGTCGGAAAAAGTCATCAGTGTTGCAGAAGGTCTTCCCCTCACCACCCCTACATCCATTTGTGTTTCTAAGGAATATTAATTACAATGTTACCCCTCAGTTTCTCCATAATTACAAAATTTCCACATAAAATGCTTATTCTGACCGATCTCCTATAAATTATGTTTCTCATTTCAATTTTAACTTCCTTAGTTTACTTTTTTAATACTTACCAAGGTTATTTCAAGGAAAATTTGACACTTATTCCAAGTCTGTCTACCCCGTATTGTTGTTTAATTTCTCTCTTCAACTTTTTTATCTTTCAACACATATTTGAAAGACTAGCATAATCTGATGCTTAGTGATGCTTAGACGTGTACCCATATCTGACATCCACGCCCAAGTCCAAACTAAAAAAGATCCCTTAACTGAAAAATGTTCTCGTACTGCCTTCACCACTCTAGGTAGAAGTTTTGTAATACTTCCATCAAGTTAACCTTCAAAAACAGGGACTAGGCTAAAAAAACTAGAACTCCATTAATTTAGAATTGATTTGTAAAAGAACTCTGTTAACTTAGAAAGCACATTCATTCCATATGATAAACATGGAAAGCCAAGGTCAATACTAATAATTGCTCAATTATGGTAAAATTGAAAGAATCACTTTCATCTTGTTGAAAACTTATTTATATCGCTAGACGTATTAAGGTTTCACATGGCGATCATTACATTAAGGCCAAATTGATATGTTTTCCGAATACCAAAGGCATATGAAGGAATTATCAAATTGACCCAAATCATATGTCGATTCAAAGGCGTAAACCTCACACAGATATGGATATGTAATAACAATCAGAGCCCTATGTGTTGATAATTCAATGTCAATGACAGATACTGATTCCTAAAAGCATACTGACTGTTCCTCAGAAATGAAAGAATATTATTACTGTAAAATACAAATATCAGTACTGACTACTGAAAAAAAAGAAAAACTTGAGTACTGACATACCCCAAGGCGAAATGCAGTTCCTCGAAGCCGGCAATCTTCAGCCAGTATTTTGGTAGCTTGTAAGGCCTCTTGCATACTGGCCCCAGAAGCAACCACTGCACAGACAATGGCACCAGCTGATGAACCAGCTAATGGTGTAGTTTCCTATGTCAGAAATAAAAGGTTCATGTTATGAAAGAATATTTTGTAGCTATTTATTGTAAATTTAGTTTCACAAGAGATAAATTAGCATAAAAGCATGCACAAAGGGACCATGTGCATGTGCAAGTAAGAAAGAAACAGAGGAACTTCCACAACCCTGTGATTGGTTGGGCAGGAACTGGGGCTGATTTTTTTATTTCGAGAACCTAAATACCAATTCAAATTATTCAAAAGTTTAAATAGGCCCCAGTTTTTTTATTTCAAGAAGCTAAATATCAATTCAAGCGTTTGATAGCCTATTAGCTAATCATAATGCGAAAAAAATTACAAAATTATTGGACAGTCCTTGCCAAAGTTGCACTAAATTTATTCTTTGGCATTTTTTAACTTCGTAAATATCCCACAAATTCAGAAAATCTATTAATAATATGGTTTTTTTCTGTAACATTGAATATGAGTTTTTTTACCACCAAATCTCCCTCCAAAGCAACATTTAAAACATTTTGTAAGACAACTCACCTCCTCCTTCAACAAAGTTAAAAGTTTCAATTGTTTAAATTTGCCCAACATGGATTTTGGCAGTAAAGCAAAAAAAACAAAGAACTTTTGATTAAAATCAGCTGAAAAAAATAAGCTTTACATTCACAAATGTGATCACAAAATGTAAATTTGAGCAGCTTTGAAAGTTTCGGCCAAAATCATTAACTCATTTAACAAAATCTCTGCAACACCTCAACTCTAAGTACAAATAAGCACAAAAACAGAATATATTTAGGCAACAAAATGTAACGACGCACTGAAAATGAAAAAAACAAAGCATAAACCAATCGAAAAGAACCCATCTGCATAGATATTCACATGCACATATTCTGAATATATATATATATATATATATGTGCATATATATATGTATATAACCTAACCTTTATGTAACCTTTCTCAATAAGAAATTGAGCAACCCCAAGATGGTACGGAAACAAAAGCCCAGCAGCAGAGAAGCTAAACCCAGGGCTTGTCACGGCCTTTCTACCCCTCTCCGCCTCCACATCCTTCAACCTCTGCTCCCAAACCACCTCCGGCTCCACCGGGTCCTCTACCACCGACGCAATCCCCTCTTTCCTCCTCTTCCAGAAGTACGATTCCCTCTCCGGACTCCCCTCCGTGTCCCGAAACATAGTAACCGGTACCGAATTCGAGTCGCGGCCGTTGACGTCCTTACCGGTCTTGATGATTCGCGACGCGATGCCAAGGAAGAGCTCCCCGGTAGCCAGTGCAAATGACTTCTTCTCTGAAGGAGGGGGCGGCAGTGGCTCGGTGGTGAGTTTGGGTTTCTCGGAAGGGTCCTTGGCGGAGGAAATTAGGGTTAGGGTCCTTGAGGGTAGACGAAATCTTGGGTTAGGGTTAGGGTTTGAAGGGCTGAGAAAACGAGGATAGGAGAGGAAGAGAGAGGAGAGAGAGGCCATTCGAGAAGAAGAAGAGGAGGTTCGCTTCGTCTCCTTCGAATGCATTGTAACGTTTCTTTTGTATTTGTATTTGTATATGTATATTTTTATATATTTATTGTATATTACAGTATTATATAATGCTTTGTTTTATTCTCTTTGGTTTTTATATGCAACCTTATTATAGTTTTGCCGGAGGAGACAGAGAGAGTTTTGTTGGTTTCCGGGGGAGAGAGAGAGAGGGAAGACGGGGGTTTATGTTTTGTTGGTTGCCTTCCCACCGCAAAACTGCAAGAAAGCTAACACATAACTCATTGAAGAAGACACGGAAAATGATGGAGAGCTTGGAGTGACGGCAAATGCTATGAAACAATATGAAGGAATATGTAAGGTAACTTATGTGCGTGTAAAGGAATATGTAAGAACCTGATTAGGTGACTGGCCTGTTAATAATTTTTTTATAATTTTTGGAAAAACATGGTTTGTAAAATAGTGTTATCACGCATAAGTAAATTCATCAATTAAGTATATGCATTCATAATACAAGTACAATATGAAATTAATTTAAATAACCAAATATGTAATTCAACTTCATTAATTAAAAACTAGTATTTGCACTTTTCATTGGCGAAATAAATTTCCATAATGACTAAAGTGCAATTGCATTGAAAAGTTACTTTGAATAGTTTGTAAGAGATGTGTCTATAATTGACGTTCATAGAAACTCTCACGGTAAAGGTTGTGTTGAATATACATTTTGTCAAACCCTTGGTTTGCAACTAGAATATAGCTATAATCAACTTCTCAACCAACTTAATCCAAACAGCATCATATTCGCCTTATGAATGTAAATTTAGCAATGTCGTCACATTCATAGATAAACATATTTTGAAAGCAACCGATATATAATGAATGAAGGTGCTTTGCAAAATAAAAAAAGTTAAGGATTAGAGAAATGGAAACCAAACCACCACAATATACATAGTTTGGCACAACCATGGCCTACATCCATGCCTTGAGAAAACCTCTCAAGGATTCCACTATTGAGCTTTTCCTTCGGGTGAAAAACCTTAACATGAAGCTAATATGCTTCTCCTTCATTTTTTTGACGGTTAAGAAGTAACCATTGCTCACTCTTATGTGTGGAGAGCGCTACCTTATCCTCTCATTATAAGGTTGAGTGAAACCTTTTATCTTTTACGGGTTAAGAAAGAGAACCCTCACAATAGCCTTTCCAAGCTTCCCTTGCCAAGAGTACCTCTTGATCTTCTTCTCTCAAGAATAGATACGGAGTTGAAGATTATAATGGATGTCTCTCAAATAGACAAACATTACAAATTAAAAATCTTGATCTTCTTCTCTCAAGAATAGATACGGAGTTGAAGATTATAATGGATGTCTCTCAAATAGACAAACATTACAAATTAAAAATCTCATACTTAGAGTTACAAATGAAATAATCAAGTGAAAGCTCAACTTTAAGTATCGCAAGATGAGTCACAATGAATGATATGCAATATGAATTTCATTGGTGATTCCTATAGGAGATTTTCTACCCAAAACTGATACAAGTTTCATGCCCAAAGGGAGGTCTCTCTGTAACTCTCTTACATACCCACGATGTGAATACGTACATTGTAGATTTATAGCCCCATTGAAGAATATAGCCCTTTGGGTGCATAAGGGCAAGTTTTCATGCAGTCAAACTAGCCACATAAGTCAAACTAGCCGTTATATTTGAATCTGGGGACTTTCAGTTTACTGAAATTTAAGTTTCAGTTTGTTGAAACTCTAGTTTCAGTTGGCTGACCCTCTGCGTCCGTTGGCTGACTCTCAGTTATGAGAAAATATGCTCTCGGCTAATTTCAGTCGACTAACTCTTTGTGCTCGTCGAAGGTCATTCACACGGACTTCAAATGGCTATATTTCAGTCAATTTAATTCCAAATTAGGTCAAAATTATACTCAAATTGAACTCTCGAAGTCAGCTTTCTAATGGCATCAACCTCACTCAAAAACTCCAACCACATAAATAGTTATGGCAGTTTTAGTGCAACTTGATCAGAAATTTTCTAAGCTGAAAATTGCTTGTTTTGAAATAGCCATCTGTCAAACAACTAGGACGTTGTTGGATGATTTAATTAAGTACGAGGCATATTTTAAAGGAGTATAGGAACCATTAATATGATGTAACTTCATTCGGTATTAGTCTTAAATCAACTCAAGGAAACAAAGGCCTTATAAAATTAACAATTAATTTCGTGGCCTAATATCAAGTGTCTAAGGACTTGTCATAGTGTCAAATCAAATTAATATACAATCCTTGATTTCTCTAAGTGAGTTTATGAAGATATTCCAATTTAGGGACTTTCTTATATTTGACAAAGGCTTTTCAAGAATAAAACGATTAAGTTCAAAGCTTATACAATATTCCTACATACCAATTCAAATGATGATTGAGATACATGGTCCTAGTAATTGTAGCTCAAAACTTATGAAAGCTTGAACTAACTCATCCTTAACAAAGGCCTCATAAATCAAAATGTTCTTTGACGAGGTTCATAGACTATTGCTAATGTTTTAAGGACTTATGAATGATATGGATAGTACTTTAGTCCGCCACGTCAAGAGATGGGCTTTCAAATGAATTACTTCAAGAATAACTTTACAAGTTAAGCTAGCACTCACCCAAGACTATTCTTCCCAATTCTTTGATCTTTCTTTTCTTAAGCTTTGTGTTGATGTCTCTATCTTTGTTTTCAATGTATTTTGAGTTTTAAAATTTCATCTTTTAAGTATAGGATCCTTCTTGGCTTTGCCATTGATCCACAAGCTCTCTTAGAATTTCTTACACATAACCTGTTTAGCATAAACTCAAGTAGACATTTAATTCAATCCATATCTCATTTACCTTTGGTGAAAAACCTTGGGTCAACAGGTGATGTGCTCGTATCTTGATTTTTATAAGAGTTATTAAAAACAATAGTTGTGACATCAGGCTAGTCCTTAAAAATTACACGAGAGATACAATTTTGCATTAAAAGTCTACAAGCCAATCTCTCACAACATTCTGATCCGTAAGCCAATCTCTCACAACATTCTGATCCGTAAAAATCTCGATATTATTATTTTGCAACACATTAATTATATTAATTGCTCTTCTTTCTCTCCCTGAAAAAATTTGGTGCACTGATTTGCCTCTTTTAACCAAGAAATTCTAGACTTTGGGCCCATAAGAATCATAAGATATCCTCTTGTTTTAATATATATATTTTTTAACCCTCTTGTTTTAATATTAACACAAACTCTTCTCTAGCCTTTTGCTCTTCATTTACTAATTGATCATTGATAGGGTCTGATTGAAGAATAAATTTTGCATCAAATAAAGCTTTTCTTCTCCTCTCCACCCACGGGTGCAATTTGGGCGGGCTAACCTAGCCCAACTCGAACCCAACCCAAAATTTTTGAAACTTGGCTTTGAAATTCACAAATTGGGCTCAAATCGGACTGGGTTTTCTCAAAACCCAACCATGTTCGGATTGGGCTCCGGTTGAACCCGAGCCCAACCCAAAATTCAAATCTATATATATATTTTTTAATCCAAATTAAATTTATTACCAAGCCAAAGAGGTCTTGGGAATGTATGGCTTTCCTGGCTTCCAAGAGGCTCCATCTTGTTGCTTTTTAGTTTCTAATATATATTTTACAAATCATAGTGTGAATGAAAATTATCAGGGAACCACTTCTTCTTCTTCTTCTTCTTCTTTTTTTTCGCTAATCCTAGAACCATTTTAACTCTTGTACAATTCTGAAACAAAAATTTACTTTTGTGTTCTGCATAAAAGTTCAGGTGATATATAGATGGTCTTTGCAATGTTAAAGAAATTCAAAGAGAAAAAATGGCAGTATCAATAAATTGAAAACTAATTTTTTTTTTTTGAAAAAAATTGATTTTCAAGCCGAGGAAACCAAAAATGTGATTTTCGCATATTTGTTTGAAAAGATAAAATTAGAATTGGAAGCACAAAAATTAATAATTGAATACTTAAGTTATAATAGCAACGGGACTTTAGAAATGTAATTTGCATATTTGAAAAAAATAAATAAATAAATAATAAAACAAACAACAAACGAGTTGAATGGGTCAACCGGTCCGGCCCGAAAAATTTGGTTTTGGACTTGAAAGTCCATATCTGGGGTGACATCGGACTAGCCCAACTCAACCTGACTTCAAATTAAGTTTAGGTTGAGACCAGGTTGGGTTGGACCCGCCGAACTTGCACCCCTACCACCCACTCTAAAACTCTCCATTTGTTCCTCTCTTCCTAAAACAATTTAAAAATTTTCATTAACTGATGCATATGATTCTCTTGAACAGATAGAAGTTCGGTTTGCCAAACACTGCCCACAATAGACTCCACCTCCTCTAATAAACACCAAATCTTCAAAAACTCAAAAAATAAAGGAAGAGATTGTATTTAGAATTGCTCGCTTTTTATTGAGGTCTTAGGTCCTTATTTATAGAGTACAAACCTAGAGAGGTCCTTCTTCTAAGACTCCTTTCTTGCTATACAAATTATTTCCATAATGGGTTTTCCTTCCTTATCTTGCAAATCTTTATTACAGTTGGATGCGAACGTATATTGGGCTTGATGGGCCTCACAAATTGTCTCATGCTACTTTGATAGATTGGGCCTCCTTCAGGCTCATGCAGTTGAGTCAACCCAACCTAACCCATTATTCTCCTTGGCCCATCATTAAAACACTCATGGCATAAATAAAACACAAATTGATTATTGTCTATATAGAATAAGAATGCAAGGATTGTAAAGTAATTTCAGGAGAAACTCTTAGTTACCAACTACACCGATTACTCATATTGAACATAGTAATTAAAGTTGTTAACTATCAAAAACCAAGAAGAGGCCACCAAAGCATATAGTGGAAGGAGTTGAAATACAAATCTTATAACTTGAACTCAAAAGATAACTTTGATATAATAAAACACTTTCAATATAAACGAATAATACAACAATATAAACAAGTATAATAACCATATCGATCTTTCGTTATCCTCTCTTTCTCATATTGACCATATATATTATAGTATAGTTGTAACAACTAGTGGTCAAATAAATATAGGTTTTAACACACTAGTAAATAAAGTATATAAGAATTCATAATAAATATATTAATTAAAATAATATAATAATGACAATAAAACCACCATTAATAATAACTTAATTATATTTTTATTAAAATATTCCCAACAATTAGTCCACTTAATTTTCCATTAAGAGACACCAAAATT